TATAATTTGTTGGCAAAAGTACAAATACAATCGAGATCTATCTCTGTTATTGAGTAACAACCTTTTATTAGGCAAATTTTGTTATGACACCCGTTGCTCTAGTAGTACGCGATTTGGGATCTTCTTTCAATCTTTGCCCTTGCAGTTTTTAATCTGTCATCGCCGAATTTACGTACAATGAGGGATGTTGTTGATAGCCGTCTTGGTTTACCAGCCCATTTTTTTGAAGAAAATGTTTATTACTTTTTTCTTATGGTCTTCCCACTTAGCATAGTTTACATTGTCAAATAGGTGGTGGCCGTATGAGGCGGATGGCACGATGATACAGTTAAACGATGTAGTCGCAGTGGTTAAGTTTATTCTTCTTACGTCGACTATTGTGTCTAGTGTTTTTGTAGCGATTATGGCTTCTGTCTCAAGTGACCTAGATGGCTCAGGTTTGGGATTGGACTTACGTATTACCCCAAGATGATTATTTGTGTTTACGAACTCAATTAATGTTGCCGTCGTACTCACAGTAGTCAGACTTTTTGATGCGTCCGCCTCTGTAGAACTTCATAGTTTTGGTTTTACCTGGGTGCACAGGAGGAGAGTTTGCTATGCAGTAGTGTTTCACTTTTTGTAGGGTTACGCTTATGATCTTAATGTCTCTGGTACCTATGGCTAGGTTGTCGGCTTAAAAAATGGTTTAGGCTCCGTAGTTTGTGAGCATGCAGTCTAGATCAGCTTTAAATAGTGAGAATAGTAGGGGTAAAAGTTTATGCCCTTGCGCAAGTCCGATGTTTTTTGTTATTTGTTCTTGCGGGAAATCCTCTGTTTAATTCGATCGTGTTCGAAATTATCATTTTGTATAGTTTTTCAAAGAATTTAGTGGAAATTCCTAGGTTAGCTATTTTTTAGATCTATCTACCATAGACTTTGCTGGTTGTCCAAATAGAAGACAATTTAATTTCAAAGTACTCACGGATCAAGTTTGCGCATAAAATTACATAAGGTTCTACAAGCTTCCCCAATAATAAGAACATATACTTCTCATTTACTTAAAACTTTAATGAAAAGAGTAAATTGTTTTCATTTTTATCAGTTCGTGTTATACTGGGACATTGCGTAAATATCAAGTGCTTTTCTCCAGTTAGGTCTGACAGTAGAAGTTAAGCCAGTGTTACTGTTTGTGGTGTTGATGGATCGTTAGAGATCCCTTATTTTTTAAATGAATTCAGCTGTTACATTGACCCGTTATTTTTTAAACGAATTCAGCTGTTACATTGACCCTGTACGCTTCCATTTGAGGCACCGATCCCTGGTTTTGATTTGAATGTGGGTCCAGTTGTGTTTATTCTGGAATATTTCTGAAACTGAAAAGATTGAGATAGTGTTAAGTAGACAGCTTGAGAAATAGTTTCACAGTATTAATATCCATCAATGTATAGCATAGAAAAGTACAGAAAAGTTAGGAATAGTTTGGGAGTGGATTTTCTGTCTAATTCTGTCTCATGGAATTTCATTTTTTGCTCGTAACATTTTTCTCATCTTTTTCGTTGCTATTTTGGGGAGGTGGAGTTCGTAGAGTACAACCTTAATCTTCTTCATCAGATTTTCCTCCGGTATTTTTGACAGTGTTTTAGATGGTTGTGTTGGGTTATAATTTGTTGACAAAATTACATAAAAAATCGAGACGCTATCTGTTATTGAGTAACAACCTTTTATAAAGCAAATTTTGTTATGACACCCGTTGCTCTAGTAGTACGCGATTTGGGATCTTCTTTTAATCCTTGCCCTTGCAATTTTTAAACTGTCATCGCCGAATTTATGTACAATGAGGGATGTTGTTAATAGCCGTCTTGGTTTACCAGCCCATTTTTTGTAGAACATTTTATTTACCTTTTTTCTTATGGTGTTCCCACTTATCATAGTTAATTTCGTCAAATATGTGATGGCCGTATGAGGCGGATGGTACGATGATACTGTTAAACGATGTAGTCGCAGTGGTTAAGTTTATTTTTGTCAGGTCAACTATTGTGTCTAGTATGTTTGTAGCTTTTATGGCTTTTGTTCTCAAGTGAGTTAGATGGCTCAGAGGTTTGAGATCGGACTGTAGTATTACCCCAAGATGATTGATTGTGTTTACGAACTCAATTTTGTTGCCGTCGTACTCACAGTAATCAGAGTTTTTGATGCGTCGGCCTCTGTAGAACTTGATTTCTTTGGTTTGACCTGGGTGCACTGGAAGAGAGTTAGCTATGCAGTAGTATTTCAGTTTTTCTAGGGTCGTGTTTATGATGTTGTTTTCTCTGGTACTTATGGCGAGGTTGTCGGCTTGAAAAATGGGTTCGGCTACGCAGTTTGTGAGCATGCAGTCTAGGTCTGCATTAAGTAGTGAGAATTGTTGGGGCAAAAGTTTCTGCCCTTGCGCAAGTCCGATGTTTTGTGTCATAGGTTCTTGCAGGAAACCCTCTCTGTTCAATTCGATCGTGTTCGACATAGTTCTTCATATAATAATGCTTGCCGCCGTGAAAGTAGATATATTTTTCCTGAAGCCATGTTGGGGTTTTTGATAGGATCTGCAACGATTCTGACCATACAGTAAGGCGTTGGTGTAATATATGGGAGAAAGTTTTTGATTTTGTTGGGAGGATCGCTATTCCTCTGTAGTTGTTTAGATCGGATTTGGTGCCTTTTTGTTGTACAACGGAGTTATATTTGCTTTTTTCCAGGATTTCGTTGATTTATGAATCTTGCATGTTTCTTTATCGAACCATGGTTTCGATATGCGTTTCTTTGGAGAATTTGCTCTTTTTATCGGAAGTTTGATCTACTGTGTGGTTAAATTGTCTTTTTTATTGAATTGATAATACTTTGTGTTCCAGAATCCAGTGCGGCGTGGTCGCATTTTGTTTTAGCATGCGAGACTTTTTTTCTCGATGGGTTACAGGCGTGGTTAATTTGAATGTTTGTGCTCAGTAAAATAGTTTTTTTATGATTTCTAGGTCTAGAGGGGTAATACTGAAGCACAGATTAATTGTGCTGTTACCTCGCATGCAGCTGCAAATAATTTTTTGTGGGTTGTTCATGTAATATATATCCTTTCGCTTCATTATCTCCAATAGCGCATGTGTTCTGGTAAATTGAATGTCCAGGTGATAGTTGGTCTCCGGCAAAAAGTATTTCGTTGACTACTGATGAGTGCTTGAGGGCTGTTGAAATTTCTCATAATATATCCTCTATTTCACTCTTGGTGGCATTATTGTTAGTTTAGTTGGGTCAAGGGATATGCTTATGATACTCTTTTTTGTAGTTTATTAAGGCACGGTCCGCTAGACTTTGGCTTAATGCAATAGCGATTATCCCGATAGGGCGTCTTTTACACCATTTCTTGGCGGGTCAGTTTCTGCATATAAAGTTTGAAATCTCTAATTCTTGGAAGCTCATCGTTTCTGTTAGCAGAAGAATGTCATTTTCTTTAGTTCGTCTGTGAGTTTAGTAGCTAGTTTTGTTCCTTCGATGTTCAAAAAGAGGAGCGATAGGTTCTTGCGTTAGTCTTGTAGTCATGCTTGGTTTTTATATTTGTTGGAATGATTTTCCTTTTGCGGATGAAGTGATTCATTTCCGGTTTCTTATTTAGTTTTTCTTTTAGCGCAGTTCTCAGCTGAAATTTTTCTTGCTGTTGCTGTTTGTTAAGGTCTGGGTTGATGAAAAGCTTCCGATTTGCTCGTGTTCGCATTTTTCTGGTGTTTTTCAGGATTTTCAATTTGTGTTTTGTGGCTTTAAACGTGATTCGGATCAGTTTTTTGTTCTCTCTGCCACCGAAGGCTTTCATTGATTCATTTGGCTCCTCTTTGAAGTTTGTGTCTAAAGTCATGCAGATCTGGACGACATCGGATTTAGCCTGGTCACTAATTGAGATGCCCGAGATCACGATGTTCTTTTCACGTTCCCTCTTGCAATTTTTCTTCAAGATTGATACCTTTGAAAATATTTGAATATAGCAGTTTGTTCGATTCTTCATTGCTGGGAATTCTTCGATACGCTGATTTGTTTTCATATTAACCTCTTCAATGCTGACCTTCTGTTTTTTTCCTCATTGGATGATTTGACTATCAGTTTGGTGACCTGTTCTTTGAGCTTTTTGAGCGTTTGTAAGATCCCAACTCAACTGAGTGTCGACTCTAAGCAAAAACAGCACATGGAGGTCTTTTTCTGGCTGCTGTAGGTTATCCGGTATCCACACTGATGGCCAGATTCCGCATTTGCTAAGCATTCTTGGTAGTGATGTTCTCATTTATTCGGTTGGTTCGTAGTTTCCTTTTTCCGGGGAATTGGATTTGTGCTCGATGAGGTTGTTTGACTCATTGTTTATAAATAGTCTTGAAGTCTTAATTTTCCTCATTGTCTTGAAGTCTTAAGTTCATAAGGCTGAAAGTATCTAGTCTCTAAGGAAAGAGCTTGGATCATTTTGAAAGTTAAGAGGTAGTATAATTGAAAAACGTTTTTGTTTTGACAAATTTAATTGAAAAAAGCACTGGTTTTTCCTTCAGTCATACAACTGAGTTTTGACCTTAAGTAAGAAAATTGTTTATAGTTTTTCAAGTGACTACAATTTTTTTATGGCAGAACTTAGATGATTCCCAGTTTCCAAATGTTTATACCAAAACTTTTATCCGTATTACTTTCACGCTGGTTGAAATTTTATCTGAATTAAATTATTTTAGTGAGATTTTTATTCGAATTCACCGGAAGTTTAGTTGATAACAAAAACGTAAGGTGAACCGAAGGTTTTCATAATAAAAATACTTAAAATTCAAATGGATTATTTTGCCCTCCTGTTGAATTTGTGACTACTTCCAATTTCAAAACTTATCTAACTCAGGTTGGCGAAAACCATCGTGAATCACTATGATAATGACCTGTAGTCTTGTTTATGATCCGTTCGTAGTGTTTGGATGTATGTTTTGTCTGAGTTCAATATGCGCTGCCAGTTTCATTTTAGCTGAATTAATCATTCAATTTGCGTCAATTTGTTTTGAATCATCGCTAAGTTCACGTCGCTATCTTTCAGAATGATATTTGATGGTCTGCAGTTTGCATTTGAGTTTTCGACCAAAGATACGTTCGGCTTTAAGAACGAAGTCAAAACCCTCGTCAAGGACAATGGAGGGATTGTGTCCTACATTGTCAGCAAGCAGGTACTGTGCTAAAAATAATTTAGACAATCTAGAATTTATTAAGACAATTAAGAATTTCATAATTTGCTCAATACGAAAGGAATTTTTACGCATCTTCTTGAATTTTTGAGATTATTTAGGTGTTCGCTTTGTTGATCTCTGACCCTTCTTTGTCGAAGAACTCCAAGTGCAAGAAAGCACTTCATTCAGGCTTCAGGGTACTAGATATCTCCTTTGTGAAGAAATGCATTGAGAGTGGCTGTGTCCTGGATCCAGGTCCCTTCAGTCTTGCCCTGTTGCGTTCCAAAGAGAGTTTCCAGGCTGGAGTTATCGAAGGTTGGTTAGATGACATCTTTTAGACCTTTGATGCGATAGTTTCATGTCGCATGTTTCATAGTTTCTTTTTTTTTTAAATGTGTACTCGATAAAACTTAGCTGGAAAACATTATTTTTGTGTCTCTATCAAATTTTACCGAGCTTTTTATGGTAATGATAATCTTTACTTCCTCTTTGAAGGAGTTTTAGCTAAAAGGATTTACCCAAGGTTCCTGATTAGTAGTTCTAGGAAAAGTTTACCGGGTAGGATAGAATGTGCTTGGGTACTTTAGAATGGGTATTTGGCACTCATCACTTTAGAGTTATGTGGGTAATTTGGTATTATGTAGATTGGTATATTGTTGATTTCTATATAGGGTATAATGGTATAGGGTAGAAGGAGGGCTTAGAATAGATTGAAGCCGGGTAGACTGTCCTGCCGTCATAATTATGTAAGAATTATTAGAGATGGGCCCTGCACGCATTTTTGAAAATACCGGATACAGGACAATTACTTTTGCGAAGCGAGTGTATTAGTACGAACCTTCTTTTTTTCTAACCTAAGTCGCAAACATTGGTGCCAATTTTAAGGCACCTTTACTGCTTTTTGATAGCATGTGCTTTGACATTCAAATAATAATAAGTTAACACAGTTGATGCATTTTTAATTCATCAAATTAACCGAAAAAAAGTGATTTGTTTCAAACAACATAACAGTAATGAAAACTCGATTTCAGAAATTTTTTAACTCAATATATCTCGCAATTTTTTTAAATACATAATTTGTACATAATGTGGCTTTGTGCTTTGCGATTTGTTACATGCAAAGTTAGTGTGGATGTCTTGAGCTTGTTATATTTCAAATTATTACTTGAAAATTGAGTCTGTTTGTATTTGGTGCCACTTTGCTGAATGGCATTGGCAATTTATTAGCATATGTAGCTGCTTTATTCGTGACTAGTATTTGTCGGTTGTTAAGCTTGCGTGGCTGAGTGGATAGTGCGTGAAACTCAAAATCTCTTGATTGCATTAGGGCGCAAATTCGAATCCTACACGTAGCCGAGCTTTTGCTAATTCGAGGCTTATTTCTTCTTTTTCTGATTTCACACGATAGAGCTGCTTTTTGGTCGTTTTCTCGCAATCGTTTGTGAAGCGCAGCTTCGCTTCTGTGTAAAACTTACCAGATGCACCGGATAATAACCGGATACCGGATAGATGCCAAATCGATGAAATAATTGATCGAATTCGATGTACATGAATGCAACAAGTTGATATTGCGTATGATCATGATGTAATTTGTTTTGATACACATTTTCCCACATAGTCAAAGAGCTGATGCTTTTGCTGGTAATTTTACAACTGGTATTTTTACTTGATAGTCGTCTAAATTTTGATTGAGTCATCTTATACTCTAATTTTGATTTCAGCGTTTTTTTTTTCGAATTTTTTTTCGAAAAAAAAAAACGCGGTCAGTATCTGGTAATTATCCGGTGCAATTTTACCATATATCCGTGCCGGAATCAGACAGTTGCCGGATAAACGGATATCAATTCCAGATACCACTATTCTGGTACAGTTCGAGCAATTATACAGCAAGTTACTAAAAGCGTGCATATTGCACCTAAAATGGCGCAACCTTTGTCTAGTTTATATCGGCTCATTTTCGTGTTTCCATATATACTGCAGCTGATTTGTTTAAATTCAAGAAAAAATCGCTCGCTGTTCTTCAATTTACAAAATATCTGTTTTTTTTTTTAGTTTGTTCTCCGGACGTCGGACCTGTTGAGACGGAAAAAGAAGAAAGTGTGTGTTTGAAAAACTTGCGGTTGGTGTACATGCTAATATACCATGTAATTGAAAATGGTTCGAGTTTAATCGTTTGTGAGGTGTTAGTTATGATGTTGTTTAGGTCGTACAAACTGAAACTCGATGATTTAGACCCTCACACGTACGAGTACTTGAAAGGTGTAGTTCTAATGGTAAGCTACATGAGTTATAAATATACAAAACGAAGCAAAAAAGTCGCCCATAAACTTACTACGCATCAATTTATGTCTCTGCTTTGAGAAATTTGGCGCTTCAATTGCAGAAGCAAATTGCGATTACCAATGAAAATAGCTGAGCTAGAAAACAACAATTTTTTAAAATGTGATTTTGGCTTCAAAAAACTGAGGTTGTTTGGAAGGTTTTGAATTATATTAAGAGAAAAAAAATCGAAGATTCATAACGCTTTTAGAATGACGACAAACAAATTGCTTCGGTAGAAATTGACAAAATCAATGCCGTTTTTCATCTCTCGGATGGTTCCACGATCGACACCCCATTTGCGGTTATGAAAATCGAATCCATGATAGTTGATTCGATCGAGTTCTCAAAATGCATAATGGATGCTGAAATTTTTCCGTTTGAAAGTGGTCGGAAAGCTGTGGGATGTTACGCCGAGCTAATTCGGGTCTTTGAAGAGGACAAAGACATGAAGTCTTATTTCGGATGCAAAGAGTTGAACGATACAACGAGTGTATCGACTGTTGCGCAACTAGTGGGATCACAGAAGTTCAGACAGGCAAGTTTTCATGTATCAGCTGAATTTTCAAATTGTATTCAGTGTGTTTGCTTCCCGAACATGTATGTATCTCAAAGAAACTCGCCCGTCTATTCAAAAAACCATTTCTAGTACTTTCCTTTTATGAGGCTTTTAGAGCTCCGTTTTGCCAAATGTTTAAAAGATGTTCATGCTCACTTTTTTTTGTTATTACAGTCGATGAACGTAGTTCAGACTCTTTTATAGGCCGTGATGATTTTTTTTGAAAACGCTCCAATATTTTAGAGAAGTTTATGCATAGATATTGAGGCGAAATGTCTTTTGGCTATTATTTTGCTCAAATTTACGTTTTTGACGGAAATTTTTTATATGATTGAAAAGATACATTACATTTCAAATTCGGAAAATTATATCTTTTCGATCATATAAAAAAATTTCGTCAAAAACGCAAATTTGAGCAAAATAATAGCCAAAAGACATTTCGTGTCAATATCTATGCATAAAATTCTCTATCATGTATTTAGCCGCACTATGCAAGGGATCTCTACCCTTATATTCGCGATGTGTTTGAGGTTACTTCATTATAGTTTGATTCAAAATATCGCCATAAGTGATGTAGTATTCCTTTCTTCAGTCCGATTCTATCCCTGAATTTCACACTCTTCCGAAGTTTGTTTACTTGTCCGCTTGTTCGGATAAAAAGTCTTGAAATTGGACAAACAAAGATATAGGTAGAATTTGAGTCTTTTAGAAGTAAGTTCTTGTAATTTACTTTGCTTGAGTAGTCATTTTGGATCCACTTAAATCACTTTTTCTGTGCATTTTCTAATACTTCTTGGTTTTCCAATACCAGCAGGGACTTCCTTATAGGACGTCAGGGACAACCATTGACTTGTACAGATTTAGTTTGGTTCTTGATTCTAGTCTTGATGAGCTTCTTTTCAACATAAAGAGTACTTTTAAAGCTTTAATCACTGCAGCCTTGTTATGTGTATCCCACTCCAGATCAGCTGATATTGTAACACTCAAGTCTTTTTGAGTGTTCGTTCTCTCTATTCTTTTGCCAGAGAAGTAACAGGCATTTTCGAGTCTGTCATGGAAATGTGTAAGCATTTCTTCATATTCAGAAGTACTTTATGTTCTTCGCTCCATTTTTTTCCTCTTGAGAGATCGATTTAAAATCTAAGGCTTTTTGTGTCACTTGAAATTAATTTTGCGTCATCTGCGGACATCTGGGAAAGAGTTTTTACTTACCTCTGTTAGGTCGTTTTTATATATAACAAATAGCAGACTTGCTAGAATTGACCCTTGGGGCACTCCGCTTGTTACCAGAATTGGTTTTGATAATTCACCACAAACTTTAAGGCTCTGTTATCTGTTGATTAGATATGATTTCGTTAGTTTAAAAGTCCGCCCTCTCACCTAATTTGAACAGTTTCGACATTAGTATGCCGTGATTAACATCATCAAAGGTTTTTTCGTAGTCAGTGTATATGATGTTGACTTTGCTCCCATTGTTAAGCGTTTTGAGAAACGTGGAAAATTGGTTTTTGGTGTCTGAACAGATAAATGAACAGACATCGTTCGAGATTATTGCCTATAATTTTCTACTTCTGATTTTGAGTCCCTCTTGTGGAGTGGACTCACAATTAATTTTTTCCAGTATTTTGGGAAAATTTCGGTTTGTTTGACTTTATAAATTATTTGACTAAACGATTTACTTATACTTTTGCACAGCTTTTGTATAGCACTCATGGGAGATGGTCTGATCCACTAGCCCTTCTTGTTATTAAGTCGGATAAGATGTCCATGAATCTCTCGGGCGATATATCGAAATCATTAAATGGTTGCATAATCGGTGGTGAGTTATCAGGTTCAAATGCCGTTGATTTGTGGAAGATTTTGAGAATACTTTACAATGAGTTGGAGGATCGTTTGCGCAATCAGTTTTATAATGAACTGGCACTGAAATGAGTGTTGTTTTTAAATTTCCAATTTTTGATAGTATTTAAATAAGTTGATCTGGTGTCCGCCAGCTTTGATTCATTTTCATATTTATCCTCATTGATCTCTTCTTATGCGTCCTGTGATTTCTTGACTTTGCGCAGGTCTTGTGAGTGTTTGAGTTTGGCTGTGTTTAGTTTCTTTAGCATATGTGATGTTTCGGGTTTTATCCGTGGGGATAATATTGAGCGATGTTTTGTTCTACGCGGTGTGTGTTTCAGTACAATGTTTTTCAACCACACATACCATTGTTCGATCAGAACGTTTATATTACTCTAGTATATTCCATTGAATGGATAAGATTCAATGTCTCGCGAGATACTGCCGAAATCAGCTTAAGATTAGCTTATAGTTGCCGACGAAACTCCAGCTCTTTAATAGTTTGTAACAAAATTCGTCTGTTTGATTTTGAGTATTATTGAGTTGTGGTTTGACCTTCACTGCTTTTTTGCAGAAAATGATTTCGGTGTTCGTGTTTGTAAATATCAAGTCTAGTATCCCAGTTGATAATGCCGGGAAACCTACCAATTGCTGCATATCGTTTTCAAAGAGAAGGTAAATCAGTTTTCCAGTTTCAGTATCGTTTAATTTATAGTCTGACCAGTCAACGTCGCTTATGTTGAAGTCACCATATATCGAAGTTGTATTATAATTTTTTGATAGAATTATTATCTCAAAGATGTTGAATACAGTAGTATTGTGATGGGACCAGTGGGTTGATGAATCAGATTATAAGTACGTTATTGTCCTTATGTTTTAGTGAGCATGCGAATGTTGCTCCTGGTATTGAGTTTTGTAGTGCTAATTCTTCGGATATGAAAGTCTTTTCCATTGCATTGAGACACCCACCGTGTTTTGAAACGAAATTGTTTTCTTTGCGATCAGGTCTGTATAGGGTATATTTTAGAAGAAAGAGCTCACTGTGATAAATAGTTGGTTATAACCAGGTTTCTGTTATCATGAAAAAGTCAACCAGGCCAGTATTTATAAAGTTTGTTAGTTTTGTTATTTTTTCTCGATTTATGAGGCTACGAATGTTGAGTCCAAAGCCTTTCAAGTAGTTGTCGGTGTTCCTAATTGAAAGGTCAACCATTTAAGATGGTCTTTTTTTCGTAGATATAGCTTCCTGTCGCGAAGGTTTTGTTTTTAGTGACTCTCAGCATCAATTAGCCGATGTCGTCCCAAGTCATTGTTTTCCATTTTAGCTTCTTCTTTTGTTAATTCTTTGCTGAAGAACGCAGGAGGATTGTAATGCTGCTGATGCCAAGATTGCTCTCTACTTCCATTTTTTTGGTACCTTCAGTATGATTATTCTGTTTTTGTCGTCTCGTTTTTTCCCAATTCTTATTAGGTCGCTGATATCCGTTTCTAGACAATATTGCTTCAAGACTTACAAGATGATTCATTTGAGGACTTCATACGGTTTCTTGTACCAATAATTTTAGAACTCTTCATCAACTTCGCTTGGTACTCCGAGTCAAAGGCTCAAAGATTTCACCAGACTGAAGAATGGGTATTGTCTGGGACCCTGAATCTTTGAAAAACTCAAAGACTACCCCAGTTTGGCATTTTTTTAATATAACTTGGGACCCTGAATCGAAGACTCAAAAGAGTACACCAAGTTTAAATAAAAGCATTAACTCTATTGATCGATGCTTTCTTGAAGTCTTCTTTGCTTGGCCTTCCTTCTGCTCTTCGAAGGTTTCCGTTTGTTTGGGTAGAAGTGTAGGGTTATTGCAAGTTGTCGTAGCTCTTGGTTTGCAGATTGATGCAGTTGTCTGTAAGATCGTATGACACTTCCATCCAACTTTTCCGTGCTGGTGAGAGTGTGTTCACTGAGGTTGATAACTGGAACGTCAAGCGTTCTCCAATCTTAGAAGATGTAAGTCGATTTCTCTCTTGCATTAAACAGTCGCGTAGAGATTTGGTAACTTTTGAAGGTTGGTGATTGGTTCGTGAAACTTCAGGGGCTTAAACTCGTTTGAAGGATGTGCGGTAGTGGAATTATATTTGAGGTCGTGCCACAAAATAATCTTTTTATCTTTCTCAGGAGCTGAAAATAAATTTTTTTCCCGGTACAGCCACGTGGTAATTCAAATTTAGCGTGGATTCACTTTATATTTCGTCAATTTTGTCTTTTAGCGATTTTTCTTGCGTGTAGCATAATTGTAATGTGAACTTGCTTCAACAATATGTCCCATTCAAAATCAAAGAACGAGAAAAAAAGGAAGGGAAGTCGGAGGAAAAAAAGGAAAAAACTAATCTGAGTTGTCGACTTTATGATGTATTTGACAGTCTCCACAAAGTGAGATGCCCAGAACAGCAAACAGCGATAATCAATGTAACAGAATAAACTCAAATTATAGGTGTCACAAGTGGCTACCCCTTAGCATTTGTTTTTATCTGAAAACAAACTATTTAATAGTTTTTTTTTAATAAACAAACCATGTAACAAAAAGTGATGGGGGTTTGAAAATCCTCAATTTGGCTAACTTGAGATAATTAACGCGCATTATTTTGGTTCTAATAACTCACTTAAGCGGCAAATTAAATTGTTCCAAATATAATTAATGCAAGTAATTTGGTCTTTTATCAGGGTACGAGACGCTAAATACTTTCCTTTGAAATCAAAAAGCGTATAGTCAGATAACAGTGGACAGAAACCAAAAAGATTGTTCTTCTTTCAGGGCAAAGCTCTGAAAGTTCCGACCGCCCCTTAATCCATATCGAGTAGTGTTTGGGAAAAGAAAATATTTTGAAATATTGAGTTTTGGGCAATATCAGTGATCAAGTATTAAAGTTTGAGTCGTACGAAATTTATGCAATCGATTATGTAGCCTCATTTGAATTGGCAGCGATTGTGTGCGGGATAATTCGCCACGCTTAAATAATTCGCGTTACGCTTTCAGAATTATGGATAAAATGTCCAAAGCGGGCATAAATTAGTCCAGAGCATGCCCAAAGAGCCAATTTTCAAACTCGCAAAACTTTATAAAAAATGATCGGAAGTAAGATATATATTTTTTTAAATTTTGATTTCAATAAGGCAATATCTTTAATGGAGATGAATTTTTTTTTGTAAAAATTTATAATTTCAATTGCTGAATTAGTAATTGAATTGGCTAACAAATACCACACCAAGCTTAGTTAATCCATTTTAGCCGAAAGTCGGAACTAAAAGCGTATTTCAGTGAGCAATTTAAAAGTGGGCTTCGCCCTGATTTACGAGCAGTCTTGTTTCTTTCACAACTTGCCTTAAATTGAATGACCACTTTGAACTCAGTGTTATGCCAGAAGTATTGTGTTTTCGAAGAAGCTTCATAGATTGGGATTGATTATTGCTGTCGTCAGACTTTTTTCTGCAATGTATTTTTTCTTCTTGATTTGTGCTCCTTTTGTCGCTTTTTTCTTTGTATTTGCTAGATGCAGCTGTATCTCTGGATGCAGTTCCACATATATTGTGCGCTAATAAATTTTCTGAATATTGGTTCACACAGCTCAAGTTAGCTCCTGAAATGTTTCCTGGATTTTTTTTGGCATTTTCTCGTTTCTTTTGCAAAACTAAGATTGTTTTTAACATTCTGTGTTACCTTAAACTATTGATTTTCTGTTGAATTATGAAGGTGTGGTCGATTTCAAATTGGTGCTTTTTGGCTGCCAAATTTACAATTTTTTGTTTCGACTATTGAAAATGGGGAGTAACTTTGTATTCCGCTGTTTTTATTTTTTTTGTTTTCTACGCAAAATCAAGTACCATAAGTAATCATCGGACTGGGTGTTGAGTGATATATCATATTAAAGCACTTACAGTCGTGATTCGAACCACTTTGAAAGCTTTCGAATTTTCTCCCCGTTTCGAGAAAAACCGGTTAAGAAATTTTCAAAAAATTAAAAAACTGCAACTTGAATTTTTTTCAATATTCAAGTAACTTCTCTAAAAATATTGTTTTTCGATTTGCTAATTTTATTATGACTGTTGAATATACCTAATCTCCTTCTATCACACCACGTCGAAAAGAAACGACTGTAATTTGAATATAACTTTGTTGTATATTGTACGACAATGGTCGGAACACTGTGCCACTTGCACAGTAACCGACTATCCTTGTTAAATATCAAATTGTATCTTTATCTTTACAATTATTTTATACTGAAACCTGTCAATTACTTTTAACAAAGTCCATTCTGTTTTAATTGAGACAGTTTGTTTTCCAGGTTATTCTGATGGATGACAAAAACTCGATGCTGGATACCAGCATCACGGAGCTCATGCAAACTCTGTATGGAGAGTCTCAGGCGACATTTGACGGGTTGCGCAACGGCTCGAAATCCGTGTTTGAGTTCAAACGGGAGACCGTAAACGAAGCCATGGGATACTTGAAACAACTTAAAATAATATTACAAGGTGCGAAATTGAAAAAACAGGAAGCAATAGCAGGGGAGTTGAATCGCGGGGACAGTGATGTGGAGTCAGGTTCAGATTCGTTCAAGGTTGCATCTTTGACCAAGAAGTTCTTCCAGTGCATTCCTCACAAGAGAACATTTGTGCTTGACTTGAAAACTGTAGTTCACAAATTGGACATGTGTCAGGTCTGCAATTTTGTTCTCTGTTTTCGTTTTGTTTTTCCGGCAACATAACGAAGCCCAATTATTCAACAGTCTCGTGAAACATATCATGATGCAGAAAGAGGTAGCAGATATAAACCCTGTCAACCGTAATTTGGCGTCCAAAAGTTGGGTATTATCAGAAATTATCAGAGATTTTACTCAAGTAGTACAGCGTTTAAGCAATACTTAAAAGCTAATCATGGAACGTGTAACCCAGGCATTTTGGGGGTTTTCGAGTTTCTTTTTTTTTTCATTGAATTCGAGTCTTTTTTGAATGAAAGACTATCTAATGGAAGGTTCTGCCAATTGCAAGGCTACCATAGCGTTTAAAAATTCGATTATTACAGTCTCCTGGAAAGCATGGATAACGGTTTTTCCGAAACTCTTATTACGTTAATCGTAAAACGTTTTTATTTATGTTTAGTAATTACGTTTATCAAATATGAATTCTTTTTGCAGGTTATTTTGGACATGAACTCAATTGGAGAGAGCACAAATTGGGCCCCCGTTCCCCCAGTTATGTCGATGTACAAGGCTCTGGGAGTGCGAATCACGCCACTTCCTGCTGTCGAACTAGAGGCTCTTTCACAATCGCTACAGTTTTCGAACAGGGCAGAAGTAACTCAGGTGTTTGGACTTCTGAAACCTGCTCAGATGTGTTCGTTCAAGTCGACTGGAAAGGAAGTGCAAACATTGTATCACGGAACAAGTCCTGCCAACTTGATCGGAGTTTTGTCGAGGTAAATGCACTTAAGAAAATCAGACTCCCTCCTCCACAGTTGTGCCTACGTATTTAATAGATTTACTAGTAAAACTTTTGTTTTATTTGTCCGTTTGCAATAAAACTTGGATTGTGGTTTAAGTAATTGAATCAAAACGTGTTTGGTTTCTCCTGCTTACGTATTATGTTATAGTATGAACTCTCTTTTTTTTCAACCTAAGTCGTAAATATTGTTGCGACGCAAATATTTTTGCGACAAAAAGTGTTCATTTTGAAAGTGTTCATTTTGATCAATAACCGGCTATTAAGTACAGCCAATACTAAGGATTTTAACACAGACTATTCTATTACAAATAGCACTTAAGCTTCAAGCTATCGTGGATCTGTAGCGTAGAGGTAGGAAAGCAGGCCCGCAACAATATAAGAGGGTTCGAACCTGGGCAGGGTCTGATATTTTTAATGAAATTTTTCGCGCACTAGCTAAAATGCGTCCGCTGTATAAATTGAGGCATGTTAGCTGGTAAATTTCTCTTTTTTTTCAAATTGACTGGTACTTCTAATGCGTCATAATTGGCTAGCGTCACTTAGCAATTATGTAGTTTCATAATTGGCTTGCGAAATTTTGTAGACTCAAAGTTTTACTCATTAAGATTTTCCCAGTACCGTTATCGGTCATTTTTTTTCTTGGTGTGTGCGAAGTGCAACTTCGCCTCTGTGTAAAAAGTGTGAAACAATTAATGACACAATGTGATCGATGCTTGCGAAAAATAGGGAAGAAAAGAGAACCAAAATTTCGATGAAGTTTTTTTTTTGTTTTATTTGTTCGTTTGCAATAAAACTTGGATTGTGGTTTAAGTAATTGAATCAAACGTGTTTTATTTCTCCTATTTACGTATTTTGTTAAATAGTGCTGAGTTAAATTAACCGGACAAAACGCGTTAAACTTGAAATTTAAAACCCGTTTTTCTCAAATTGGGTTGAGTTTAGGTGAAAACTTATGAAGACAAAACTTGCTTAAAATTTTAGCAGAATTAATATGGTGTAATTTGTTTTGCGAATTTCAGGCCCAAAATTTTACCCCAAAAATGGGTTATGTTGGCTTTTCTTAGTTAATCAAAATTTACGCCAGAAATACCCAGTCGATCACAGAAATAATTATATCAAAGTGAGCCCATTACGTAGCCCAACAAACTTTATGAAGGGTGTTTTCTCCAAAATATTGTATAAGTTAATTTATTTTTGTTTGATAGACAATTTTTAAACAATTTGCAATTTTTTTTGGAGAATATACCCTTCATAAAGTTTATTGGACTACGTAATGGGCTCACTTTGATATAATTATTTCTGTGATCGACTGGGTATTTTTGGCGTAAGTTTTGATTAACTAAGAAAAGCCAACATAACCCATTTTTGGGGTAAAATTTTGGGCCTGAAATTCGCAAAACAAATTACACCATATTAATTCTGCTAAAATTTTAAGCAAGTTTTGTCTTCATAAGTTTTCACCTAAACTCAACCCAATTTGAGAAAAACGGGTTTTAAATTTCAAGTTTAACGCGTTTTGTCCGGTTAATTTAAATCAGCACTGTAGTATGAATTGTATTTTGGTGTAATATGAACTCTCTTTTTCCAACCTAAGTCGCAAATATTAGTGCTCTTTTTGAAAGTGCTCTTTTATTGCAGTATATGCATAAGATTAATAACCAGCGATCAAGTACAGCCAATGCTAAGGATTTTAACACAGACGATTATATTACAAATAGCCCTTAAGCTTCAAGGTATCATGGATCTGTAGCGTAGAGGTAGGAAAAGAGACACGCAACAAAAGAGAGGGTTCGAACCGGGGCATGGTCGGATGTTTTTAATGAAATTTTTCGCGTACTAGCTAAAATGCGTCCGCTCTATAAATTGAGGCATGTTAGCTGGTAAATTTCTCTTTTTTTTTTCAAATTGACTGGTACTTCTAGTGTGTCATAACTGGCTTGCGTCACTTTGCTATGATGTAAGTCTCATAATTGGCATGCGAAATTTTGTAGACTCAAAGTTTTACTCATTAAGATTTTCCCAGTATCGTTCTCGGTCATTTTTTTAGTAATTGAATCAAACGTGTTTAAGTAATTGAATCAAACGTATTTTATTTCTCCTGTTTACGTGTTTTGTTATAGTATGAAACGTATTTTGGTATAGTATGAACTCTCTTTTTTTCAAACTAAGTGGCAAATATTGTTGCGACGCAAATATTGTTGCGACAAAAAGTTTTCGTTTTGAAAGTTTTCTTTTTGATCATTAACCAGCAATTAAGTACAGCCAATTCTAAGGATTTTAACACGGACTATTATTTTACAAGTGGCACTTAATCTTCAAGGTATCTTGGATCTGTAGCGTAGAGGTAGGGAAGCAGACCCGCAACAAAGTAAGAGGGTTCGAACCTGGGCAGGGTCGGAGGTTTTTAATGAACTTTTTCGTGTACTAGCTTAAAGGCGTCCGCTCTATAAATTGAGGCATGTTAGCTGGTAAATTTCTTTTTTTTTCAAATTGACTGGTACTTCTAGTGTTTCATAACTTGCTTGCGTCACTTTGCTATGATGTAGTCTCATAATTGGCATGCGAAATTTTGTAGACTCAAAGTTTTACTCATTAAGATTTTCCCAGTAGCGTTATCGGTCATTTTTATCTTGGTGTGTGCGAAGTGCAACTTCGCCTGTGTAAAAGTTGTGAAACAATTAATGACACAATGTAATCGATGCTTGCGAAAAATAGGGAAGAGAAGAGAACCCAAATTTCGATGAAGTTTTGTTTTGTTTTATTTGTCCTTTGCTATAAAGCTTGGATTGTGGTTTAAGTAATTGAATCAAAACTTATTTTATTTCTCCTGTTTACGTGTTTTTTTATAGTATGAAACGTATTTTGGTATAGTATGAACTCTCTTTTTTTCGAACTAAGTCGCAAATATTGTTGCGACGCAATTATTGTATCGAAAAAAAGTTTTCATTTTGAAAGTTTTCTTTTTGATCATTAACCAGCAATTAAGTACAGCCAATGCTAAGGATTTTAACACGGACTATTATATTACAAGTGGCACTTAAGCTTCGAGGTATCATGGATCTGTAGCGGAGAGGTAGGGAAGCAGACCCGCAACAAAGTAAGAGGGTTCGAACCTGGGCAGGGTCGGAGGTTTTTAATGAACTTTTTCGTGTACTAGCTTAAAGGCGTCCGCTCTATAAATTGAGGCATGTTAGCTGGTAAATTTCTTTTTTTTTCAAATTGACTGGTACTTCTAGTGTGTCAATACTGGCTTGCGTCACTTTGCAATGATGTAGTCTCATAATTGGAATGCGAAATTTTGTAGACCCAAAATTTTACTCATTAAGATTTTCCCAGTATCGTTTTCGGTCATTTTTTTTAGTAATTGAATCAAACGTGTTTAAGTAATTGAATCAAACGTGTTTTATTTCTCCTATTTACGTATTTTGTTATAGTATGAATTGTATTTTGGTATAGTATGAACTCTCTTTTTTCAACCTAAGTCGCAAATATTAGTGCTCTTTTTGAAAGTGCTCTTTTATTGCAGTATATGCATAAGATTAATAACCAGCGATCAAGTACAGCCAATGCTAAGGATTTTAACACAGACGATTATATTACAAATAGCCCTTAAGCTTCAAGGTATCATGAATCTGTAGCGTAGAGGTAGGAAAAGAGACACGCAACAAAAGAGAGGGTTTGAACCGGGGCATGGTCGGATGTTTTTAATGAAATTTTTCGCGTACTAGCTAAAATGCGTCCGCTCTATAAATTGAGGCATGTTAGCTGGTAAATTTCTTTTTTTTTCAAATTGACTGGTACTTCTAGTGTGTCATAACTGGCTTGCGTCACTTTGCTATGATGTAAGTCTAATAATTGGCATGCGAAATTTTGTAGACTCAAAGTTTTACTCATTAAGATTTTCCCAGTATCGTTCTCGGTCATTTTTTTTAGTAATTGAATCAAACGTGTTTAAGTAATTGAATCAAACGTATTTTATTTCTCCTGTTTACGTGTTTTGTTATAGTATGGAACGTATTTTGGTATAGTATGAACTCTCTTTTTTTCAAACTAAGTGGCAAATATTGTTGCGACGCAAATATTGTTGCGACAAAAAGTTTTCATTTTGAAAGTTTTCTTTTTGATCATTAACCAGCAATTAAGTACAGCCAATTCTAAGGATTTTAACACGGACTATTATTTTACAAGTGGCACTTAAGCTTCAAGGTATCTTGGATCTGTAGCGTAGAGGTAGAGAAGCAGACCCGCAACAAAGTAAGAGGGTTCGAACCTGGGCAGGGTCGGAGGTTTTTAATGAACTTTTTCGTGTACTAGCTTAAAGGCGTCCGCTCTATAAATTGAGGCATGTTAGCTGGTAAATTTCTTTTTTTTTCAAATTGACTGGTACTTCTAGTGTTTCATAACTTGCTTGCGTCACTTTGCTATGATGTAGTCTCATAATTGGCATGCGAAATTTTGTAGACTCAAAGTTTTACTCATTAAGATTTTCCCAGTAGCGTTATCGGTCATTTTTATCTTGGTGTGTGCGAAGTGCAACTTCGCCTGTGTTAAAGTTGTGAAACAATTAATGACACAATGTAATCGATGCTTGCGAAAAATAGGGAAGAGAAGAGAACCAAAATTTCGAAGAAACTTTGTTTTGTTTTATTTGTCCTTTGCTATAAAGCTTGGATTGTGGTTCAAGTAATTGAATCAAAACTTATTTTATTTCTCCTGTTTACGTGTTTTTTTATAGTATGAAACGTGTTTTGGTATAGTATGAACTCTCTTTTTTTCGAACTAAGTCGCAAATATTGTTGCGACGCAAATATTGTATCGAAAAAAAGTTTTCATTTTGAAAGTTTTCTTTTTGATCATTAACCAGCAATTAAGTACAGCCAATACTAAGGATTTTAACACGGACTATTATATTACAATAGGCACTTAAGCTTCGAGGTATCATGGATCTGTAGCGGAGTGGTAGGGAAGCAGACCCGCAACAAAGTAAAAGGGTTCGAACCTGGGCAGGGTCGGAGGTTTTTAATGAACTTTTTCGTGTACTAGCTTAAAGGCGTCCGCTCTATAAATTGAGGCATGTTAGCTGGTAAATTTCTTTTTTTTTTCAAATTGACTGGTACTTCTAGTGTGTCAATACTGGCTTGCGTCACTTTGCAATGATGTAGTCTCATAATTGGAATGCGAAATTTTGTGGACCCAAAATTTTACTCATTAAGATTTTACCAGTATCGTTCTCGGTCATTTTTTTTAGTAATTGAATCAAACGTGTTTAAGTAATTGAATCAAACGTGTTTTATTTCTCCTATTTACGTATTTTGCTATAGTATGAATTGTATTTTGGTATAGTATGAACTCTCTTTTTTCAACCTAAGTCGCAAATATTAGTGCTCTTTTTGAAAGTGCTCTTTTATTGCAGTATATGCATAAGATTAATAACCAGCGATCAAGTACAGCCAATGCTAAGGATTTTAACACAGACGATTATATTACAAATAGCCCTTAAGCTTCAAGGTATCATGGATCTGTAGCGTAGAGGTAGGAAAAGAGACACGCAACAATAGAGGGTTCGAACCGGGGCATGGTCGGATGTTTTTAATGAAATTTTTCGCGTACTAGCTAAAATGCGTCCGCTCTATAAATTGAGGCATGTTAGCTGGTAAATTTCTCTTTTTTTTTTCAAATTGACTGGTACTTCTAGTGTGTCATAACTGGCTTGCGTCACTTTGCTATGATGTAGTCTCATAATTGGCATGCGAAATTTTGTAGACTCAAAGTTTTACTCATTAAGATTTTCCCAGTATCGTTCTCGGTCATTTTTTTAGTAATTGAATCAAACGTGTTTAAGTAATTGAATCAAACGTATTTTATTTCTCCTGTTTACGTGTTTTGTTATAGTATGAAACGTATTTTGGTATAGTATGAACTCTCTTTTTTTCAAACTAAGTGGCAAATATTGTTGCGACGCAAATATTGTTGCGACAAAAAGTTTTCATTTTGAAAGTTTTCTTTTTGATCAATAACCAGCTATTAAGTACAGCCAATGCCAAGGATTCTAACACGGACTATTATATTACAATTAGCACTTAAGCTTCAAGGTATCATGGATCTGTAGCGTAGAGGTAGGGAAGCAGGCCCGCAACAAAATAAGAGGGTTCGAATCTGGGCAGGGTCTGATGTTTTTATTGAAATTTTTCGCGTACTAGCTAAAATGCGTCCGCTGTATAAATTGAGGCATGTTAGCTGGTAAATTTCTTTTTTTTTCAATTTGACTGGTACTTCTAGTGTTTCATAACTTGCTCGCGTCACTTTGCTATGATGTAGTCTCATAATTGGCATGCGAAATTTTGTAGACTCAAAGTTTTACTCATTAAGATTTTCCCAGTAGCGTTATCGGTCATTTTTTTCTTGGTGTGTGCGAAATGCAACGTCGCCTCTGTGTAAAAGTTGTGAAACAATTAATGACACAATGTAATCGATGCTTGCGAAAAATAAAGAAGAGAAGAGAACCAAAATTTCGATGAAGTTTTTTTGTTTTATTTGTCCGTTTGCAATAAAGCTTGGCTTGTGGTTTAAGTAATTGAATCAAAACGTGTTTTATTTCTCCTGTTTACGTATTTTGTTATAGTATGAAACGTATTTTGGTATACTATGAACTCTTTTTTTTGCAACCTTAGTCGCAAATACTGTTGCGACGCAACTATTTCTGAGACAAAAATTGCTCATTTTGGAAGTGTTCATTTTGATCAAAAACCAGCTATTAAGTACAGCCAATGCTAAAGTTTTTAACACAGACGATTATATTGAAAATAGCCCTTAAGCTTCAAGCTATCGTGGATCTGTAGCGTAGAGGTAGGGAAGCAGGCCCGCAACAAAATAAGAGGGTTCGAACCTGGGCAGGGTCTGATGTTTTTATTGAAATTTTTCGCGTACTAGCTAAAATGCGTCCGCTGTATAAATTGAGGCATGTTAGCTGGTAAATTTCTCTTTTTTTTCAAATTGACTGGTACTTCTAATGCGTCATAATTGGCTTGCGTCACTTAGCAATTATGTAGTTTCATAATTGGCGTATGAAATTTTGTAGACTCAAAGTTTTACTCATTAAGATTTTCCCAGTAGCGTTATCGGTCATTTTTTTCTTGGTGTGTGCGAAGTGCAACTTCGCCTCTGTGTAAAAGTTGTGAAACAATTAATGACACAATGTAATCGATGCTTGCGAAAAATAGGGAAGGGAAGAGAACCAAATTTTCGATGAAGTTTTTTTTTGTTTTATTTGTCCGTTTGCTATAAAGCTTGGATTGTGGTTTAAGTAATTGAATCAAAACGTGTTTTATTTCTCCTGTTTACGTGTTTTGTTATAGTATGAAACGTATTTTGGTATAGTATGAAGTCTCTTTTTTTCAACCTAAGTTGCAAATATTGTTGCGACGCAAATATTGTTGCGACAAAAAGTTTTCATTTGGAAACTTTTCATTTTGATCATCAACCAGCAATTAAGTACAGCCAATGCTAAGGATTTTAACACCGTCTATTATTTACAAATAGCACTTAAGCTTCAAAGTATCATGGATCTGTTGCGTAGAGGTAGGGAAGGAGACCCGCAACAAAATAAGAGGGTTTGAACCTGGGCAGGGTCGGATGTTTTAAATGAACTTTTTCGTGTACTAGCTTAATTGCGTTCGCTCTATAAATTGAGGCATGTTAGCTAGTAAATTTGTTTTTTTTTCTAAACAAAAAGCAAATTAAATTCATTATTGCTAAAGCGTCATAATTGGCTTGCGAATTTTTTAGTCTCGAAGTTTTACTCATTAAGATTTTCCCAGTAGCGTTATCGGTCATTTTTTTCTTGGTGTATGCGAAGTGCAACTTCGCCTCTGTGTAAAAATTGTGAAACATTTAATGACACAATGTAATCGATGCTTGCGAAAAGTAGGGAAGGGAAGAGAACGAAAATTTCGAAAGTTTTTTTATAGGAAGAAAATTTTTTAATAGGAAGTTTTGTTCTCCTGAGTTACAATGCAATGGAATGAGATCTTAGGCGTTCATCAAAGTGTAAACTCAAATTTTAACTTTCTTTGGTAAATTTTTGGCTCTTTCAACAGTCCAAGTTACTATCTATGAAATATGTTTTAGGGGACTCATACTTCCTAATGTTGCGACCAATGAGTTTGGGATACCTTTGACAGACTTCGGCAAGCTGGGTCGAGGCATCTACTTCTCAGAACAGATGAATACGAGTTTAAAGTACTGCTCCCCAGCTCAACATGGGCTCAGATACCTTCTCATGTGTGAAGTGGTTGTCGGAAAGCAGTTCGAGACCTCGGATCTGATGCCCGAAAGAACCACAGCTCCAGAAGGGTTCGATTCTGTTGTTGCGAACCCTGATTCGCATAACTTCAATGGAGATTCTGAGGTAGTGGTGTATAATACGAACCAAGTCAGATTGAAGTATCTGATTGAGTTGAAGGTCGAAGGCGATAATCAGAAGAATGGTTGGGAGTTCAATTCTCAGCTCTTGTTACCTGGTTTTGGTGGTGATGAGGTCGATCTAGCCAGCAGGGGAAAAGAGAACGACTTGAGCTTCGGTGAGATTTTATGGGAGATATTTTTGTTGAATTTTGAAGTTCTGGCCTTAATTGCCAAAAATGGTTGCCTGTGTTTGCCTTTTTTTCAATCCAGAACTAACACTGATGACCATCAGTAGAGAATTTAGAAAAAGGGGTTGGAAGACTACCCTTAAGGATTCGACCCTCGTGCCGACTCAAAAGGTCTACCTTGTTCTATTTTCGGCGCCAATAATTACTAATTTTGAGCGGGAAGCGCGCGCCGAAAAATGCAATTTTTTGGTCTAAATTTTGCAAAAAAAGCCCAACAGCGCCTTTTATGGCCTGTTTTTTTTCAAAATTTTGCCTGCATCGCAGAAAATCCGGTCAAATCAGCCCGGGAAATCAATTATTGAACCTAAAAACAACCAAAAAAAGTTCAGCAAAGTTTTTAAAAATCCGCCCCCCCCCCCCCTCGAGAAAATCCTAGATCCTCCCTGATGACCTACTTTAAAATAAAGTATTAAATGGAAGTTCAAAAGCTAAATTTCAAGATATGGCATCTTCGTTATATCAGATCTTGAAAAGCTGAAGCATCTGCTACCGCCGGAACCAGAAGCTGGACTGCTGCCGAAGAATGGCTCCAGAAATTCCGTTCCACTCCAGGCCGTACATGTACGAGCGAAGCTAGTTGACCTTGCGGCTAAGGTTGTGGTTCTACAAGTGTATGAGAACAGGAACATAACTGAGTCGATTGAGGCCAAATACGTGTTCCCTCTTGACGAGTTCTGCAGTGTCGTTGGCTTCGAGGCATTTATTAATGGCAAACATGTTGTCGGAGAGGTCAAGGTAAAACAAAATTTTCTTGCGGAATCCTCATCTATCTTTATTCAAAAAGATAAATGCAACTTATATCAAAAAAATTAATGCAACAAAATTATATTTTCTACTTGAGAAATATCAATCCAACTTATGCAGGCTGCTTGTTATCAATTAGTTCATAGAAAAGCATCAGTAACGGCGTGGCGACCATTCGTCGCAAGCCATATTTGCAGCATTTGTAAAAAGCAACTATTTGCAGCACGCGACGACTCATAGCATGCGACAATTAGTAGCGGTAGAAGCTTTGATCAGATCAAAGAAATTAGATGAAACATTTAAATTAAAGAACAAAGAAACTAAAAATCAAAATTGAACGATAGGCCCTTAAGTTGCTTGAGAATATTTTTGTTGCTATGATGTTTAAGGAGTTTAACTAATCTAATCTGGCTTGGCTTCTTTCGTATTTTGCCCCCTTGGCGACACTTTCTCCGGCAGTTATTCTGACCAGTTCGTTCTCCGATAGACTTTGTTTTTTCTCAGGAATTGGATAATTTGTGAATGGTAGGGTGGGAGCTCTCGATCCCCATCTGGAAGGCCCTATGTCATCCCTCGACCGAATTGTTGGTTTGTTGTCTTTTATTTTTGGCGTTTTAGAATTTTTTGAACTGATTCCCCAGTGAGATAGGGAATTGCCCAACCCCCCTGCGTCATCGGAGGATGGTTTCAACCCAAGTGGATTCAAAATAATTGACGTAATCCTGTAAGGTGGACTCATCACTTTTGTCGGAAATTTCAGAACATAAAGCAGCCATCCTGATTTCAAATTCGAGCTCAGGTATTGGTGACTGAGCACCAAATGACTTTAGAAGCTTGAGCTTTTTTATCTTTTCGATAAACCGGTGCTAATCCGATCTCTTCAATTTTGCGCCAAATGACCGAAGCAAACTAAAAAAAGCAGCTGTTTGTAGTAACTCCATTGAATACCTTCAGAAAGGCGGTAATGGAAGCCTTCTCAAAATCTACCGCAATCTATCAGGGCTCAAGTCCTGGATTGGTTCATTTCAGTTGTTTGAAGGCCCGGATGTATTGCTCTTCACTTTTGTTATGAAAATGAAAGAAGACTAATGGAAAAGTTTGATAGTTAACCACTGCATGAATTGTAACAATTTGATAAATAACGCGGGCCAGCTGTAAATGTCCCATTTGCGTACCAGGCTGTTGTTTTCTAAATTTTTAAGTTCTATTCGGTGGCAAATGTTACCATTCGGTCTTTGTCATCCGACACCGAATCGAAAAGGAGAAAATTATCCCTCTCAGGGTTTTGCATAACTTAAAGGCACAGCAATGTCTTTTATTGAGTATGGGGGCAGAATCAGTTGCTGGGGCAGAATTAGTTGCTCGTTGCCGTTGAACAGTACGGTCGAGTGACCTGTACTTAGGTAAGTTAACCACTGTTTCGAGGCTAATATCCCCAACGTTTTCCACATAAATGATTATGGGAGGCTTTAATGTTATGTTTCTTTCTGTTTTATAGAACGTTGAACCCAGTAAATTTACAGCTTTATAACCAGACAAGAGAAAATTTCAATCCCTCTAAAAATCCTCCCGGTTTTTTAAAGTTAGCCTGTTCGAGAAGTTTTGTTTTTGTTACGCTGGGTTTGGCCAGTCCCCCCCCCCCACAAAAACGCACGCCTTGCATTCATGCTAATTCAACTTTTTGAAACAAAATAAAATAAGAAAAGTCGTAATTTTGAAAGCTTAAGGTCGTGCACGTGTGAAAATTTTTCTCGATTTTTTTTTTGAAATTTTCTACTTCCTCGCAAGGAATATTTTTAGGGCCATGTTCTCCGGATATGCTGACTATTTCGTCTGCGATGGTGGCAACAAGCTTTATACAGTCTATTCACGCATCGCCAGCTGGATTTATCAGTTTTTTCTTTTCGCAGTTTAGGTTGAAGGTTTCTCCATCGTGAACAAATTGCTGTTTTTCTCGCTCGCTCATATCAAAATTTAAAGGCATGTTTTTATCAGTAAGTGTAATGCTACTAACGTTCAATTACTCTTATCTTTACTGATAATTCATTTAAGGTATTTAATTCAACACTGGTGCTAAATTGTAATTTTTGATCGCTCGCTAGTTTTTAATCCCCCACAACCAGCGCAAAATTGCTTTCTTGTTTCGCATCGTTTAGTAACCAGCCCAATTAACAATTAATAGTGCTGCCAATTTTTGCTTGCTACGAATTGACGCTTGGCGCTAATTGTCGCCTTCTAAAAATGCTGCGAATAGTCGCTGCTGAACAATGGTCGCTTGCGTTGAATTCTCGCCTCGCGGTCAGTATTATTTGATATCAGTTTGGTATAGGTGACATTTGTTGATATTTTGTTCTTCCATTTTTGGCGTTTTCGAACTGTTTTCAGAATGAGATAGGGAATTGCCCAACCCCCTGCATCCTCGGAGGAAGGTTGCAACCCAAGTTGTTTCGAAATATTTGACGTAATCCAGTAAGGGAGACTCATCACTGTTTTCGGAAATTTCAGAGTATAAAGCAGCCATGCCGATTTCAAAATCGAGCCTAGGTATTGATGCCAGAGCAAAAAATGATTTTAGAAGCTTGCGCGTTTGTTTATATCGCTAAACCGGTGCTAGTTCAATCTCCTGAATGTTTCGGCAATTGGCCTGAGCAAAATGAAAGAAGCAGCCTTTTCTAGTTACTCCACTGAATACCCTCAGAAAGGAACTAATTGAAGCCTTCTCAAAATCTAGCACAATGTATGAGGGCTCAAGTCCTGAATTGTTTTCTTCCAGTTTTTTGCTTACCCGGATGTTTTGCTGTTCGCTTTTGTTTTTAAGAAAAAAGAAAACTAATGGAAAAGTTTGATCAATAACCACTGCATGAATTGTAGAAGTTTGATAAAATAACGCAGGACATGCTTTGAATACTATTGTTTCGATGCTAATATCTCCAGTGTCTTCCACGTAAATGATCCTGGGAGGCTCGAATGTTATGTTTTATTTCCGCCTGATGGCACGTTTAACACTGTAAATTTACAAATTTCTTACAGCACAAGAAAAAATTTCTGATACCTCTAGAACTACCCCCGGTCTTTAAAAAATTAACCTGTTCTAGGGGGTTAGTTTAGTTTGGAAAGTTTAAGTTGGCCTAAGTTTAAGTTTAGGTTGCATAGAATATTTTCGTGGCCGTATTCTACGGATATGCTGACTATTTCATCTGCGATTGTGACATTAGAAGCTTTACACGATCTCATCTCGCATCGCCAGCTGGATTGACCACTTATTTTGTTTTGACGGTTCATTTTGAAGATTTCTCCATCGTGCCCAATGTGTTCTTTTCCGCTCTCGCTCATGACAAAATTTGAAGACATTTTGGTATGAGTAATTGTAATGATATTGAAGAAGAAATTGAAATGATCGAATTGAAACAAAGAAGTTTTGGATGCTACTAACGGTCAATTACTCTTATCTTTACTGTTATTTTTTTTTCAATTTGGTATCTCTTTCAACACTGAAGCTAAACTGAAAGTTTTGATTGCTCGCTGGATTTAAATCCCCCACAACCGCAAAATGTGTTTGCTTAATTCGCATCTTCTAGTTATGCGCCTAATTAGCTATTAATCTAAATTATCTAAATTAGGAATTGTCATCTCACAATCAGTAACATGTGATGTCAGTTTGGTATAGCTCACAAATTATGAGGAAGCTAAAAAACTGAAGTTTGCACGTTTAACCCGGTTTTTTTTAAAAGTTAGCCTGTTGAAGGGGTTGTCTTTTTGATCCGCTGGGTGTGGCCAGTTTTCCCTGAGAGAAACTCACGAATTGCAGTCATTGTGGTTTAACGCATTAAAACAAAATGAGATGAGAAAAAACCTAATTTTGAAAGTTTAAGTTGGCCCAAGTTTAAGTCGCATGGAATATTTTCGTTGCCATATTCTACGGATATGCTGACTATTTCATCTGCGATTGTGGCAACAGAAGTTTTACATGGTCTCTTCTCGCATCGTCAGCTGGATTAACCACTTATTTTGTTTTGACGGTTCATTTTAAAGGTTTCTCCATCGTGCCCAATGTGTTCTTTTCCGCTCTCGCTCATGACAAAATATAAAGACATATTGGTATGAGTAATTGTAATGACTTTGAAGATGAAATTGAAATGATTAAATTGAAACAAAGATATTTTGGACGCTACTAACGGTCAATTACTCCTATCTCTACTGTTATTTTTTTTTCAATTTGGTATCTCTTTCAACACTGGTGCTAAATTGTAAGTTTTGATTGCTCGCTGGATTTCAATCCCCCACAACCGCAATTTTTTTTGCTTAATTCGCATCCTTTAGTAATCCGCTCAATTAGCTCTTAATCGTATTGCTAGTGGTCCTTTGCTACAAATTGACACTTAGTGCGGATTGCCGCCTTTTAAAAATGCTGCGAATAGTCGCTTTTGACCAAACGTCGCTTGCGACGAATTGTCGCCTCACGATTAGTAACATGTGATATCAGTTGGGTATAGCTCACAATTTATCAGGAAGCTAAAAAACTGAAATTTGCACGTTTAACCCTGTAACTTTACAGCTTTATAACAGGACAAGAAAAAATTTTTGATCCCCCAAAAAATAACCCCGGTTTTCAAAAGTTAGCCTGTTGAAGGAGTTGTCTTTTTGATCTTCTGGGTGTGGCCAGTTTTCGCCCACAAAAACTCACGCGTTGCAGTCATACTGGTTTAACGGATTAAAACAAAATGAAATGAGAAAAAACCTAATTTTGAAAGTTTAAGTTGGCCCAAGTTTAAGTCGCATGGAATATTTTCGTTGCCATATTCTACGGATATGCTGACTATTTCATCTGCGATTGTGGCAACAGAAGCTTTACACGGTCTCTTCTCGCATCGCCAGCTGGATTTACCACTTTTTTTGTTTTGACGGTTCATTTTGAAGGTTTCTCCATCGTGCCCAATGTGTTCTTTTCCGCTCTCGCTCATGAAAAAATTTAAAGACATATTGGTATCAGTAATTGTAATGATTTTTTGGGTTCTAATCCCCCATAAACGCAAATTTTTTTGCCTTATTCGCATCGTTTAGTAATCCGCCCAATTAGCTATTAATCGTGCTGCTAGTTGTCCCTTGCTTCAAATTGACACTTAGTGCGGATTGCCGCCTTTTAAAAATGCTGCGAATAGTCGCTTTTGACCAATCGACGCTTGTGACGAATTGTCGCCTCACGATGAGTAACATATGATATCAGTTTGGTATTGGTCACAAAGTTTGAGGAAGTTAGAAAAAACTTGCGACAAATTCAATTGTAAGCCTAAGTTACTCGAGTAAAATAACTAACGTAAGTATGAAAAAAAATGCAGCAAAATGTCGAGATTTTAATCAAACGTTCCAGCAATATCAAACTGAGAAACAAAGGGAGCAAATAGAATAAAAACTTAATTTTTAAAACGACTATGTAATTTAGGTGAAAGAAACAGCCCGAAAGGAGTACAAAGAAGCAATTTCTCAAGGTCACGGCGCCTATCTGATGGAAGAGGACAAAGAAATTCCAAATGTGTTCTCAGTTGCGGTCGGTAATCTGCCTCCTAAAGCGACAGTCGTGATTAAAATCACGTATGTCACCGAACTTCAAGTGGAAGCATCTGATCTGAAGTTCTCGATTCCTGGAGCAGTTGCACCTTGGAGTGTTGAAAATGTCAAAACTGATACTCTGCAGTCAACTGTAAAGAGTGTGTTATTAAATAATGGCGGATTTGGCGATAGAAGTGATATGGAGAAAGTTTTGAAGCATAAGTTTACTCTGCAAGTGAATATGGAAATGCCTTTCAAAATAATGCACCTGAAATCAGAGACTCATCCGCACTTGAAAACAAAGGTGAGCTATTTCCCAAAATTCAGTAATTATGTGCAAGTTTCATTTTTCATAGCTTTTCAACAAATTAGGTTTACACTATTATGAATGGGGTGTTTCTTTGTTCTTAACGTGAATATTATAACTGGGTTATTTGTGACCTCATTAGTATGATTTAAAGAATTATGATTTTTTTTCGAATGATTGTTTTTTTTGTCTAGAGAACAGAGACAATGGCTGTGTGTGAACTACCAAACGGGACTTCGGATGGATCCGACGCCTCATCTCTCGGGTCACAAGGGTTTGAACTCCTGATTGGACTCAACGAGATCCACAAACCCAGAATGTGGGTGGAAAAGTTGCCCTTGCAGCCAAACGAACAAGCTACGATGCTAACATTCTATCCCGAATTTCAAACAAAGTCTGGTAGATATTCCGCGAGCAATCAGCAAGTTTTGATTCTTCTTGATTTATCAAACTCAATGAAGCATGATGATGCGTATTACTCGGCCATACAAGTTGCATGTCTGACATTGTGGAAAATTCCTGAACATTTTCTGTTTAATGTAATCGTTTTTGGTACTGATTTTGAAGAACTCTTCTACAAAAGTGTACCCAATAGCGCGAAAAACAGAACAAAGGCAATTGAGTATTTGACTGAAAAGTCTAACACGTTCGAGCCTATGGGTGGTACGGATGCTAATAGACCTATAAGCATCGCCTGGGAACTTTTTAACAGCAATATGAAAGACTTTGCTAGAAAGCAGAAATTGAAATCGTTCAAAACAACTTTCTTGTTGATAAGCGATGGTCATATTTCACAGCCTACACAAAGTTCAATTTCATCGCTTTTTGATCAAAATAAGAGTCTCAATTTTCGACTATTTGCAAACGGTGTCTCGTCTTCGTGTGATAAGCATACGTTAAGAGTTCTGTGTGATAAAGGCGCTGGATATTTCGAGTTTTTCGACACCGCAACGAAATCATCCTGGATGAAAAAGGTCAAAGGTCAAGTGGAAAAATTTTCCCAGCACGTGCTGACTAATGTGTCAATCAAGTGGGTGCTACATGAAGACAAAGATGATGCCCATTTATTCGATCTTTCGAACCCTGACCGTGTCATTCAAGCGCCAGCTAACTTAACGGCACTTTTTGACGGCCAACGAGTTGTGGTGTATGGCATCGTGTCATTTTGTCAGCAAGCGATTTTGGAGGCGGAATTAAATGGACACAAAGTTTCGACAGTTGTTTCAACATCTGATCACATGGCTACTGAGGGTCATCTAGTACACCAGTTGGCTGCCCGAGCAGTGATACGAGACTGGGAGACGAGTGCCGTGTTACACTCGGATAAAGCGACTCACGAGTTTGCGAAAGCCGAGTTGAAAAATACGATCATTCGGTTGAGTTTGAAACATCAAGTTGTTACGCCTTTCACGAGCTTCATTGCTGTCGAGAAAAGAGATAAGGTTCTGATTTAATGATTCGAAAAGTTCTGAATTATACTGTATGTTTGAATAAACACTAGTTTTGTTGTTTTAGAATGAAAAATTGAATATCGACAATAGCTTTATTTACAAAATTATATCTGACGAAGATGTTGATGCATTGAAATATATCGGATGGGAGAACGAATTAATCATAAAGGTTTGTTTTTTTTCACTTAGCTTCAAGAGACACCTCACAGCTCGCTGTTTTTTTTTAAATTCAACTAGTTTTTCTAATAAAGCATTTATGGATGGATGCCATTTATGGAATAATAAGAGTTGGGTTCATGAGATGTTTCAGACGCCGAGTGAAAATTTCTCCGAATTAGTGGAACAGGGAATGAAGCAGAAGAGCTATTCGGTTCTCGAGGCCAATTGTTCCTTCAGCACCGCATACCAACTTCTACAGGACAATATCGAGTCTATCGACGTGGAAAAACTTCTTGAGGTTTCATATTTATCGCGGTTTTGATTAAACAAAACATGCTCAGAAAATTCTAGCAGAAGTCGAGAGCTATTTTATTTAGAAAATTTAATAAATCTAATGGGAGAAAATGGATAGTTACTTTTGAACTGTCGTTTGCTGTTTCGATTTATTACACAAGCAAAGCTTATGTGATAGTATGATTTCTCTTCTTTTCCGACCTAAGTCGCAAATATTGTGCTCTATAAATTGAGGAATGTTAGTTGGTAAATTTCTTTTTTTTTCAAATTGACTGGTACTGATAATGCGTCATAATAGGCTTGAGTCACTTAGCAACTATGTAGACTCATATTTGGCGTGCGAAATCATCATTCAGTTTTAATCATTCAGTTTTCCTTAGTAGCGTTATCGTTCATATTTTGCTTGTGTATGCGAAAAGCAACTTCGCCTCTGTGTTTAGTTTTTTTTTGTTTTTTATGCGAAATCAGGCAGCTTAAACATTCGTTGGAATAGATCAAGTGATATATCATATTGAAGCCGTTTCCGTTATGATTCGAACATTTAAAATTTCCCAATGTCGAGAAAAATTGGTTCGAATTTTTTGATTTTTATTATAAGTACTAGGAGTATACAAGCGAGCGAGGTCTTATGATAGGTTTTTAATTTTATATTTTTTGTTATTTGAGTAAGAACATGAAAGTTAAGTTCAACTGCAGTAAAATTGTTAATTTTTTCATTGAGATTTCTATAATTTGAGTGACATTCTATTGCTGAACTATGAACTGGCACACCATGATTTCACATCTTGTAATTTTATCTTTTGATATTTTTATACGTAGTAAAGATACTAACTTTTTGAGCAACGACCAAGACCAGTTGCCAGCTTAATAAATAATAAATTTAACTTGTGAATTGGCGTTTCGAACAGAAAAAGTTCGAAACTATTAGCTTTGTTACAATTTGTTTCCTTTGTTTGAGGAAAACTGATGTCAAATCTATCTATCTATAATTTAATTGGCGTTCTATGCGACTTATGTTTAAGAGTCTCTATATAGACATGTGTAAAATCAGTAAACATAGACATTTTAGGTAATAGACTTGTACGTAAAACCATTTAGCATACATGAATGTAATAATACTCAAGGTCAAAAATCTCAAGTTCAAAATTTAATTTAAAATCTATCTTTCTATCTATCGATCTATCTATACGACCATCGATACATTATTTAATTGGCGTTTCACTTGACACATTTTAAAGAAGTCCTTGTGTTGACATGTCGAACGCACTCATTTGGTGGTAGGTACATAGATTTACCTTCTACCATACATGCACGTAATATTACCCAAGGTCAATTTTTTTATTTAAAATCATCTTTCTATCTATCTATTTATACATCCATCCAAACATTATCTAGTTGGCGTTTCACTTGAGAAATTTTAAAGAATTCCCTCTGTTGACATATTTAAGCTTTTTCAACTCATTATTTTCGCATGTTTAACGAAAGAATTTTTGCACGTTTGGGCTATATCGTATATTCTCATACTTAAGAATTTTCACTTGGAACAAGTGTCAGAAATTGCTATATTGGTCTGTTAAATGGCCAAAACAATGCAAGGGTTTTAAATGTAAACTCAAGTCTACCTTTTCAAATCTTTTGGAGCTGGATTGCTTTAACTCTACATTTTTCCTACATGCGCAACATAAAACTGTCAATTTTTTTTATCACATTTTAAAAAATTAAATCGGATTTTTAAAACCCTTTAGTGGCTTGATATCAGGTTACACTCAGGGGTTGCCCATCTGGCGTTCAAGTATGACTGCTCAAATCCTTTTGGTGTTCGAAATATGGTGTGTTCTATGATTTTTTCTTTTTTTTCTCGAAGAACTTAGATTTAAAAAAATAACTGAGCTCGAAATTCTCAGCGATATAGTGGGTTGCTGTCAGGGTACATTCAGAGATTGGTCATCGTTCTAGTGTGACTGCTCAAATCCTTTGGTGTTCGAGATATGGTGTGTTCTATGATTTTTTCATTTTTTTCTCGAAAAACTTAGATATAAAAAACTAACTGAGCTCGAAATTCTCAACCCTATAGAGGGTTGCTGTCAGGGTACAGTCAGAGATTGGTCATCTGGCGTTCTAGTGTGACTGCTCAAATCCTTTGGTGTTCGAGATATGGTGTGTTCTATGATTTTTTCAATTTTTCTCAAAATCTTGGAAATAGGAAACTAACCGAACTCGAAATTTTCAAGCCTATAGTGAGAGGCTATCAGCGTACGCTCAAGGGATACAAACCTGCCATCCAGTTATAACTGCTCAATTATTATTGGTTTTCGAGAAATGGCGTTTGTTATGATATTTTCTTTTTTTTTTCAAAAAAACTTAGACATAAGAACACAAAATCATTTGGACTTCATTCTCAACCCCATAGTGGCGTGTTTTCAGAGTACACTCAGAGCTCTGAATTTGGCTTCCAAGTGTGACTGTTCAAATCCTTTTGGTTTCGAGATATGGCGTTTTTTATGATTTGGAAATTTTGGATATAGAAAAAACTAACGGAATTTGAAAATCTCATCCCTAAAGTAGGATATTGTCAAAGTTCACTCAGCAGTTGCAAATGTGGCCTCCAATCATGACTGCCAAATCTTTTGGTTTTTGAGATATGGCGTTTTTTTTTTCAAAAACTTAGATGTAAAAAAATTAACCGAACTAGAAATTCTCAGAGCTATAGTGGGTTGCTGTCAGAGTTGACTCAGGGTTATTAAATCTGGCGTCCAAGTTTGACTGCTCAAATTTTTTTGGTTATTGAGATTTGGCGTTTATTATGATAATAAAATTGTTTTAAAAAATTTTAGTTTTAAAGAAATACTAACCGAACTTGAAGTTCTCAACCCTAAAGTGGGTGCTGACAGGGTGAACTCAAGGGTTGCGAATATGGCGTCCACGTATGACTGCCTAAATCTTCTTGGGTTTCGAGACTTGGCGTTTTTTATTGTTTTATTTCGAAAAAAAAACAATATTTAAAATTTTTCTATTATGTTTTCAAATTTTGTTCTAAAAAAAAACCTAAAATTTAAAAAACTAATCTTGACTTTGTCAACCCGAATAGTGTGGTTCTGTCACGGTACATTCAAGGGTACTGTCAGGATACAAGTCTGGCCTCTAATTTTTACTGCATTAATATTTTTTGTTTCCAAAAAATGGGGTATCCAAGATATTTTGTTTCCAAGAAGACTTAGCTTTAAAAACAACTTGTATAAATTGAATTTCTCAACCCTATGGTGGGGTGCTGTCAGTTTACAATATAGACTAGCAGTTGCCCTCTTATTTTTCCTGCTCAAATCCGTTTGGTTTTTGATACATGACGTTTCGACTAGAGATAGATGAGGCCAGTTTATCTTCACGGTTGTATTAATTATCGCTGTTTTTCAGAGAGCTTTTTCTATGTTCAACGATTATTTTGGAGCACCGTAGGAACGAGTCATGCGCTAGTATACCTAAATTAGTCCCTACCGAGTAGAACTAAGCTCAAGGCTTTTGATCAAATCCTCTCATCGAACCGCGAATAAAAAAAGAAACAATATCAAGAAATTTTTTTTTGCGGTTCAATAAGAGGATTTGAACGAAAGCCTTGAGCTTAGGTTTACTGGATAGTGACTCAGAAATAATTATTTTTATATTGCTTTCAATAATCATAAAAGCTTAACAAAAGCATTTTTCAGATTGTCGTTTGTTTTGCGGTTCGATAAGAGGATTTGAATCAAAGCGTTGAACTTAGGTCTAATCGATAGCGACTAGTTTAGGTATATTGGGCATCAGTTGCCTTCAAACAAGAGAAACAAGTTAAAGAAGTCGAATACAAAACTACCGATTTTACTGGAACTAAATTGAATTTTTACGGTCTTAATCAAATATTAAAAATTATAAACCTATTATAAGACCTCGCTCGCTTTTTTTCTCTACTAAAATCAAAAATTCAAAACCGATTTTTCTCGACATAGGAAATTTTTTTTACAGTAACTGCCTATCCTTTTTCATTAAAAATGTTGTAGAATATTCTAAACTTACTATTACTATGCCTACGTTCTAGGCTTTTGCTCGTCACAACGAACAAATTGTGGTTAGTTTGTTCGTTTTGATCAACTAAATGTCGTTTTTGTGGTCGGAACAAATATTGTTCATTTTTCTGCTCGGAACTTTCTGTGCTATGCAGGTTATAACTGTAATTCGAATCAAAATTCTAATACCTGAATTGTAATACCTGACTAAGTTGCCGGTTTCGAGAGAATTATGGTCATTTTCGTTTCTTGATTCTATTTTTAATGTAAACGAATTCCTGAAATCAAGAATTTATATCTGTCTAATTTTTAGTTTGCTCTGGGCTATGCTGACATCCTGAAAGACTCGCCTGGCTCGGAGAAAATCATGCGCTCCACCATATTGAAAGTATTTGGGTCAGTAGTCAAGGAAATTGAGTCTGGAGAAGAGGAGACATTTTCTGATGCCAGAACTGAGAAAGTCAGGGAATTGTTTGCACAACTAGACCAGTAAGTATCCAGAAATAACGGAGTATGTGTTAGTAGCATCTCTTATTGAAGTTTTATTGAGACCAGGCGTCCTCTGGCATATCTTAAATAACAATTCAGAAGTCAATAATTTATCATGAAATTTGATTCGAATTAATAATTTGGAACCACGATTCTCCTTCAGTATCTTCCTAAGTTATGCTTGCAAAAGATTCTAGACAGTTGTTTGTATTAATTTCATTTTCGTTTCAGGAGTATGATTGATTCCTTGGACCAGACAATGCTCACATCCCTGAACAAAGCAACCAATAACTCTCTTCTGCGGCTCCTTAGCGTGCATGTTATAGAATTAACTGGAAAAACCTCGATCTACTCCATCTCAGCCTTTGATACATTTGGCGATCTCAAGGTGCAAATCGAGGAAAAAGTTAGTGTGTCTTAATGCTTAACGAAGCAAAAAGGTATAAAATTAAGGCATTTTATTAGCGCTTGCGTGTCAGAATCAGTGAAGTCAATTTGGTGGTAATCCTTATGCGAATTGTATGGTTGATGACATCCGTTTCTTTCGGGAATCAACTTTCTTCTCGTTTCGTGTTTGCCGTAGAATGCTTTGTCCTTTGATCTTTTTTCCTTTCTAATTGCTACTTTCACTGTGGCCTTTTAAAAGGTATGTTCTCTTGGTACAGCTCCTGATATAATGACCACTTTACGTGTCATTTCATTGCTGGTCACCCCGAAGTCCGAGAGATCGAAATAAACCTGATGATGTTGCTGATGATGAGGTTCCTCTAAATATCAATACTGCATTCTAATTCCTGGCTTTCCATCGCCAATTTTAAGCCTGTCATTATGCACACGGTTTTGCCGTACCACTCATCTAGCGCGCTGAGGTATGCAAGTACGAGTCGAATGGCCTCTTTTTTTTACTGGTATGACGATCACAGTCGTCCATCCGGGGTTTGATTATGCTTAAAAACGAGTCCGGTTTTGTGGCATGCGGGTTGTCCCAAGGAGTACATCTGTCATCTTCTTTCTGTTTTGTGATATGGAAAATCTATCGACTGTATCTATTTTTTGTTTGCGGTAGCTGATTTTGCGTGGGTTAAAAATATTGCAGTGGTCGGAAGAATAATAACTTGATCGCTCTTTGTTTTAGACAGGTATTCCCGCGGATCAGCAGCGGTTGATTATCAGAGACCACCAGTTGTTGGACCACATGTTGCCATCAGACGTGGGAATGAATAATGGAGACAAGATACATATGGTGCTGCGGCTCAGAGGAGGTAACATATATAAAAAAAATTTATAAAAAAGATCAGTAGTTCGTGAAGTTGACGTGAAGTTTCAAAAATATACTGGAACCAGTTCTAAACTAGAATTTATAATTGGTTATAAATATAATTCTCTATTCCTTTAAAGTAATAATACTAGCCAATCATATTCCATCCCTAACAATGACACTTATTTGTAAGTGCTGAAACTACTTGTAGTTTCAGCACCAGAACAATTTAAATAAAACTTAGACTACAGTTGTTCTCTTCTGGATACAACTCAAAGAACTAATACGCAAAACCGGTATACACTAGATTTGTTGAGACTAGGAGATATAAGAGTAAGATTAAGATTGGTATTAGACTAAGAAGTAGCACGAATCTATCCGGCCGAAAATAAGATAGCATGACGAACAGACGGTGTACTCTATCTGAAATTACTCTATGAGCATAACCAATAGGTCATAACTTATCTGGTGCGACCACACGTGTCGAACAAGACCTTAACTAACCTATAATTAGAATATTGAAATAAAAATTAGACAATTGCAAAAATGTTAGATGGATTAGAGAGTTTAATAGAAATGTCTCTACGACACAATAGATCTATGCCAATTTTCCAAACAATACGAGAAATACCAGGTATTGCGAGAAGGCCAAAAACAAGGCGCGATCTACGATTGAGAAGAAACCTACCAATCGACTTCATGCTAGTAAGACGAAAACCGGAAGAACAAATTTTCGTATTTAGAATCCTTTCCGCAGTAAATTTAAATTTATTTTTACTGACATAAAAACAATCTGAAGAAAAATTCTTCAGTACAAATATTGCTCAACCTACTATTTATAAAATAACGATTGATAAAAACAACACAAGTCGTTCCTACAAAATCTGCAGTAAATCAAAACTTTTGAATAGAAATATTTATTGAACAAAACAACAAAAATTTGTTAGTATAAAATTTGTTGTTAGTTTCATTAATATGCACACATCTTTTCTTCATCCCAGCTTCATCACCTAAAACATAATAGCAAATTTCAAAAAACTAATATCATCTAAACTTTAACTTTAAACCTTTTTAAACTTAAACCTTTAAATTAAACTTTAATAAGGCTTATTCTTGCTTTCTTTTAAATTATCTTATTTTAAACAACAGATCATCAAGGCGTTCCTTGGATCTTCAAAGTCACATAAATTAAATTTCTTTTAATTCTGATCATCAAGGCCTCCCTTGGATCAAATCATACCAATTTTGTTCACCTAAACAAATTAGTTCAAGTGTCTAACGACCTCAAACGTCGATTCACTTTCCAACCCTTATAAACGACTCAGGACTAATCGAAATTTTTGAAAAAACTAACCATTTTAATTAAGATAAACAGTGAAGAACTTCGGTTACTCATCCCTCACTTGAGCCCATCCTCTTAGATGACCCAGACTAAAACACTTAAAACTTAGTAAGTCATAAGATAGTATCTAACGGTCTACTTGCGTTCTAATCATACCTGAACCTTGTGGATTGATTTACTATTCTCCAACCTTTGATCACAAATCACAACCCCTAAGTAAGATCATAAAAAGTCCCTCTTGGACGAGAACCTAATCACGAGAAAGTAAAAAATCATTCTCACGAATTGATATACTTTTCTCTCTCCAACCCGTTAACTCCGACAATCTATGCCCCAAGTTAAGATAACCACACAAAAACTGTATGAACTAACCGTTTAAGGAAATATAAACTCTAACCCCCTAGTGCTTGCTTCCCTCATCCTAAAACTTATGTCAAGAGATAATCTAGGCAGTAAACAAACAATCATATTACATAATTGTTTAATCAGAAACGAACGGTACGATCTTGTAATCACACCCCACAAACAAACAATAGGATATATCAGATCAAAAAGACAAACACGTGAAAAGACAATAATAGCAAAACAAAAGCAAAGTATCAAAAAACGATTTCAAAGAGGAAACGCAGCCTCAGAATCAGAAACAAACACGATACAGGAACTTCAAGATTTAAAAAGTTCAATAAACAAGAAAAAAGCACTAGAAAAGTCAAAAATGTTTTTTTGACTCCGAAGCAACATCACCATCATCAATTAAAGGAAAACGTAGAATTCAAAAATCATACATTAATAAACGAGTACGTCTTTATAATTGGAAAGAACCAATCCGACATATTGAAAGTTACACATTAACAGTTTTGAGATGATCGAATAAAACGAAATTTTTGACAATAATTCAATTTTCCCATTTTCTATAAACCAGAAAGTGATCCCGCTCGAGGACAAGTACAATTTTGTCACAACTTAATTGTAAATTTATTCGAAAAAGTTTAGAGCCCGTGTAAAAATGAATTTCCCGAAATAAGAATAACAAGTCAAATCCTTGACCACTACCTCAAAGATTAATGTAACATAACAACACAGTACGGTGTATTCACAATAGAAACCTTTTCACCAAAACCAAACCACCCTATACATCAAATACAAATAGATGACATAGATGCAGAATTCTCAAAAGATTTTACAGAATACATAAAAAATATACAACACCATAATTCACAAAGAGCAAATGATGTTTTTTCACTTATTTACAGCTATGTATTTATACTAGAATCGAAAGAGATACAAGATGCATCACCACGTCAAACATCCAGACCCTCAACTGTAAGACACGAAATAAATATTTTTTCAAAATTTTTAGATACAATACGTGAAAATTTCAACGTTAATGAAATTTCACAAAACGTCAAACACGATCTACAAAAAATTTTAGCATGGTTCATTATTGACTATTTCGTTCACAACATTGATTTTATAACACAGTCAAGGAAAAGTTTTAAACCACAAAATTTAGACGCAACTGTATTAGCAGATAAAACAGATTATGTTTGGGACACTGATAAGTCTCATCCATTATTGATCAGTATAACAACTGATATTTCAAGCGCAGCAACTGCAACTATATCCGTAAATAGAGAATATGTTAAAATAACTCCACTTACTATTGACGCAACCCCTTTAAACTAAAATACAAAATTCACTGATAGAACAAAAAATAATAGCTTAAAGTCCACATTCATTAATACACAAGCCAATTTAATTGGAACAAGAATTCTTACACAACAAGATATTTAAACTCCATCACATTTCATAAATGAAGAAATTGTTGAGACCAGGCCAATAACAAGACAACAAAGCATATCTCCTATTCACCCAACAATTACAACACCACCAAATAAAAACGCAACATTTCCACAAACAACCATACAATCAACAATAAAACCTTCTGTTGCCCCGAAATATTCACAAATGGATTATCAGACAATTAGACCAATAACACGAAATCACGATAATCAAACAAAAAAAAATGACAGAAACAATTTTTCAGACCATAATAATAATTTCTTAGCCAATAATAATATAGCAAAACCCCCCCTATAAAAGCTATCAAAGTCAATCACAGGCACAAAACTACAACCAACAATCACAACAACAAGTTTTCCACTCAGTTTTTTCAACGATCAACAACGAGATACAGCGGATTATAGTGAAAATATTTCAATTTTTCAACAAAATAAAAAATTGACAAATAGACATTTTACAAGAAATCAACCACATTATTCAGAAGATGAAGATTATTTTAATCAAAACCACCAATGATTGTATATAAATCATCAAAACAACAACTGGAATATTGATCAACCAGATCCTATCTATCAACCAGATCTATTTGAACCATACGCACGAAACGAACAAACACAACAATCAAAACAAACTTTTCCTCCAAGACAAAATTCAGCATCATATAACAATAACAATTTCCCATCACAAAAACCGACAAATACACAAAATTATCAACCAGCACGAATGCAAAATGAAATTCCGTTGCCATATTTTTTACAGCAACATGAAATCACAAAAACAACTAAAAATTTTTTCTCAAATGCCAAATGGCGCAGAATCATTCAAATGACTTTGAATTCATACCTTATGGGTGGATCATCCATATCTTCGAATAAACCATTAATGGTATTCACAGGAACAGATCCTGAATACTCAATAGAAGATTATTTAATTGCAATCACAGCAAATTTAAATCTCAATGTAGGACCTGAACCAATAAATAGGCCACTTCATCGAAATTGGATACATAGACGCACAGCTCTAATCCAAACCACACTTGATGGCGCATCAGAAAAATGGTTTCAATTTTTACCAATTGAAAATAAATCAGACTGGAAAAGATTCACACAAGAATTTTCAAAAATGTTTGACTCTGAAAGCAATAAACAACATCAAAGAGTTTTTCGTAATGAAATCCGTAGACTCCCTAACGAAACAATCAAACAACTTGCAGTAAGAATCAAAACATTAGTAAGAAAAGCATACTCACTTGATACACATGATTACAAAAATATGAAAATGACAGAAGTCTTAATGATAACTTTAACACCACAACTACGAAAAATAGCGATAAAAAAGAGAGCATCGCATCCATCTTCAATTCGAGAACCTGATATAGATTTTTGAAAACTAGTAGACAAACTAGAACAAGCTGAAATCACAAGGAAACTGGAAGAAACAGAAAACATAACATCCAAATAGGTACTTCACAAATGAATAATATACAAGATTCCGACACGGAACTAGCTGAAAAAATTACTCAGATATTGAATATCTATGAGAAAAATCCAAATTTTAACGGTAAACCAGCATTCAAATAATAGTGCAAGTATTGCCGTAAATACGGACATAGAATTGCTGAATGTAGACAAAAACAGCAAGTTAATCAGAATAAACCACAAAAATATAGAGAACCAAATAAATCTTGCTATCAATACATGAAAAAAGATTAAAACCTACCAAACAAAATATTCAGTATTAATAGTTCAGAAAAACCACTCCCAGACAATAATAATAATAGACAACAATCATCTTACCGTAACAACTATTGCGGAAGATCTCCAGATCGAAGAAATTCTCAAAGTTTCCCACAAACTAGA